GTGCTTTTATCTCAACCCGTCGGAGTTACATTCCTCTGATTCTCCTCCCCATCCCTCCGGGAGCGGGGGGAGGAAGGAAGAGGCGGGGAGTGAGCGAGCAGCTGCGTGGTTCCAAGTTGCCGGCTGGGCTTGAACCACGACATCTGTGAATTGAATTTGGGGGGCGTCATGCTGGTATAACCAGCTGATGACAAAAACTCTGTAGCCTCCCCCTCCTCCAGTGCACAGCCACAGGCGCCTTTCTGGCTGTGCTGAAGATCCATCCCAGCCTGCCAGGAGTCTCAGCAGAAAGCACAAGAACCCTCCCCAGGGCAGAGGCAAGGGAATCTCCACTACCTTTACCTCCTCTAGATGGGACACAGGAGTGTGGCACTTACCACACCCCCACCAGGCTGTAAGCTGTTCTCAGTGTGCTATTTTTTACCAGCGCCTTCAGATTCCTGCCTTCAAGGGCCGCAAGAGGAACCAGAGAGTTTCTACTTTTATTATTACAGTTTAATACCATCTTTAACAGAGGAGAAGCAGCAGGAGCCAACATGCAAAGCAATTAAAGTCATCGGGGGCTCAAGCGAGCTCACCTGCAGCTCAACTTTTGTAACTGCTCCTGCAGAGCAGCGATGCAGAGGGAGCCCCAGGAGCCTGTGTCCCCACACACTGCTGCTCCATCAGGCTCCACAGTGTGACAAGTTCATGGCAGACACCAAACCAACAGACAACAGTTAGGAGGACATGGACTGGTCTTTGAGTTTGTCTTTTGATGAGTCAAGTCTCTTATCTGACAAGAGTCTGGTGCACTTTGAAACTGGGAAACCACCTTAATTGTCTCTGCCAATGGTGAGAAGAGGGATCCTTCAGGAAGAGGCGATGGCTTTCACAGCAAGTCAGGAGACGAAGCACAGATATTTGGCTGCAGTTTACCTGGTTCATAGAGCTGACACCTCTTGGAGTCAAATAGGCTTTTCAATGCACATGATGGACCTTTAGGCTAAAGATTTCCAACAGAGAAACCTTTGCAACCGAGTAGAAGTGGATGTCCCTGTGAAGAAAGAGGCGCATCGGGCCTGGGCAGCCCTCACAGACAGCGGAACAAAACCCTACCGAGTCCCTCACAGCAGTTCCTCTGCAGAGACATTACGTCCTCCGGCACCTCTTCCTTTGGCAGGCCTCTGCATCTGAGCCACAGGAGCTGTCTGAGTCACTTCCCGAGGAGGAGGAGGGAGGCTTCGACGTGCTATAGTTCATGCTTAAGACCCACCCCAGTTTGTTGTGTAGCACCTGCTTGAGTCCCGGTGGCAAGGGCAGCACCTCCAGCGTGTCCACGTAGTCGGGCAGGAGCTGGCGCAGGCGGTAGCAGCAGAGGTACTGCAGGGACGTGCAGCTGGCACAGGACCGGATCACCTTCATACTGCTCTTGGCTGCTGTCGAGCACACCATGGGGTAAAACTTCTTGTTCTGCAGCTTGGTGGCTGCAACCCCTGCCAGGGGACAGCAAGGGCAGGTTTCACGTTAGTTTTCACCGGGTGACCTCACTCCTCCCAGCTCCCCTGAACCTATTGACTACAGAGCTGTTGGGAAACGCTTTGAAAACAGCTCTTGGAAATGCCAATCCATAAAACAGCAATTGTAGCCTTCCTCCCACTTGCTCCATGCTTTGCTCTCCTACTTTGCTGGTGTTTCCTCCTGCAGCCTGAATCTGAGCTCAGCCACATGTCCCCTGCCAGCGCCTGCCCTCACTCCTACCTATGCACTTGCGGTTCTTGAAGAAGGTCAGCGTGCCGTGCCACGTGTCCAAATGCACCCCGATGATGGAGCCTTGCCCAAACCTCGAGGAGAAGTTTGTTTTGTCTCCCTTGTGGTGCAGCAGTCCTTAAAACAAACAAAGGCATTCAGTGGAAAGACTGTATTCTGCAAATTCATCCCAACTCCTGCACTGTGAGTTCCCACTGCTTCAGCCTCACTCAGTGACTATAAAATCCCTCTGTTGCCTGATCCCTCCCACCCCAGACCAGGTGACAAGAAGGGCATAAGCAGAGGTTTTACAACACCAGAGCACAGGCAGCAGCATGAAACCCTCACCAGTGGCACTCGCCCTGGCTGTCATTAACAAAGGGACTCACAGGTCTGGTGGCCTCAATCCCCTTCAGAGTGTTTAGTTTTCAACCCCCTAAGAAAATGCTTGTTCCTTCTGCTGCTCCTCCATCACCCTGCCACCGCCCTGCCCGTGTCACCTGTGTAGGACAGTCCCCAGCTGTCCTCATCCTTGCCCAGCAGGCTGCAGAATGTGTGGCGGTACTTGTCCAAGTTCACATCCGATGTCCCAATTCCCACCATCTGGGAGGCAAGGCCAGGAAGAGAACACAAGCTTAGTGTCTTTCCAAGTAATAAAACACAACTAAGACTCCCCACCTCCGGCTCTCCCCAGCTTCTCTTGGCACAGTCCAAGTCACACAGAGATTTTGGTGAAGCCAGGTCAGAGCTTTCATGAGTTGGAAGCTCCCAGCTCCAATTTCTTCTCCTATATGAGGAGGCCCAGCTGAACTGCTGGAGAAACTTGCTGTCCTGTTCAAGGAATCCCAGACTGGTTTGGGTTGGAAGTGATCTTAAAGCTCATCCAGTTCCAATCCCCTGCCACGAGCAGTGACACCTTCCACTAGAGCAGGTTGCTCCAAGCCCCGTCCAACCTGGCCTTGAACACTGCCAGGGATGGGGCAAACCTGTGCCAGCGCCTCAGCACCCTCACAGGGAAGAACTTCTGCCTAAGAGCTCATCTCAATCTCCCCTCTGGCAGGTTAAAGTCATTCCCCCTTGGCCTGTCCCTACAGGCCCTTGTCCAAAGCCCCTCTCCAGGTTTCCTGTAGCCCCTTCAGGCACTGGGAGCTGCTCTAAGGTCTCCCTTTAAGGAGTCTTCTCTTCTCCAGGCTGAACCAGCCCAGCTCTCTCAACCTGTCTCCAGAGCAGAGCTGCTCCAGCCCTCGCAGCATCTCAGTGGCCTCCTCTGGACTGGCTCCAACAGCTCCACGTCCTGTTGCCCCAGAGCTGGATCAGGGCTGCAGGGGGGGTCTCCCCAGAGCGCAGCAGAGGGGGAGAATCCCCTCCCTTGACCTGCTGCTCACGCTCTGGGGATGCAGCCCAGCACACTCCAGGTTAGAGACAAGGATGCTGTGCAGGACAGTCAAATGCTCTGCACAAGTCCACTTAGTTGTTGTCCCTTACCCACCACGGGGCTGCAGCCCGTCACGGAAGGCCACCAAATTTGTCAGGCATGATTTGTCCTTAGTGAAGTGATGTTGGCTGCCACCAGTCTCCCCCTTACTGTCCATGTGCCTTAGCATAGTTTCCAGGAGGATGTGCCCCATGATCTTGCTAGGCACTGAGTTGAGACTGACTAGCCTGTGGTTCCCTAGGTCTTCCTTTCTTCCCTTTTTAGTAATGGGGGTTGTGTTTCCCCTTTTTCAGCCAGTGGGAACTTCACTGAACTGCCACAACTCCTCAAATATTCTGGATAGTGGCTTGGCCACTTCATCTTCCAATTTCCTCAGGACCCTCAGATGCATCTATTCAGGTCCCACGGACCCAAAGTGGTAAATGCCCCATCCTTGGCAGTGTTCAAGCCCAGGCTGGACAGAGTCTTGAGTGACATGGTCTAGTGTGAGGCATCCCTGCCCATGGCAGGGGCTTGGAACTAGATGATCTTAAGGTCCCAAACCATTATACGATTCCATGATTCCATGACTTGTGCATCTTCAGGCTCCTTAGTCTCAAACCTGGTCCTCTCCTACTTCAGTACTTCATTCTCCCAATCCCTGTTCAAGGAATACTGGACATTTCTATACGCCCATCAGCAACTCTGCTGCACATACCATGTCTGTGCCGTAGACAGGGGAAGTCATCTTGATCTCCCAGAAGTGTTGCCCCTCAGCCAGCTCCTTGTTGCCGCGGATGGCAGCAGTGCCGCAGCTGTACTCCATGTGGAAGTTCACCTTGCGGTTGTCGCATGTCAGTAGCGTGGCTGTCGACTTGTTCAGGTCATCCCACACCCAGTCAAAATCTGTTCAGGAAGCAAAGAGGGGACACCATTGACGAAGGCGCTCAGGGAGTGATCCCCAGGCCAAAGCACAGGCAGGTGTTTGATCTGAAGGCCTGTCGTGGGGTTTATTTATCTAGGTTTTTACCATTTAAGAGAGTAAATCCTAAGCTGTGCACATGGTTCCTTGAGGGCTAAACTATTCTGTGCTGTCCCCCTGGGGAGGGTTCAGTCGTCTGAACCTGAAGCTGTTGGCATTCACCTCTTCCCATTTTGGCCAACATGAGGTTCCACAGACCCAGGTGGAGCCTCTTTCCTTCCTTCTTACACTCCTTGTAGGCCCAAGTGGCATCTCCACCATGCCAGAGGCTTTCTCAGCAAGCCCAAACCCATCCTTTTCCTACCTCTCCCCTCTGCTCTGAGCACCCTGACAGGATCAGTGTACAGGATCAGTGGCAAAGAGGGTTATAACCACGAGAGCCTGTTTCACCAGTGGCCTAAGCCGGATTTGCAAGCAGGTCCCCAGAGGTGAACTCTGAGGCATTAACAAGCTCAACACTTAGCCCCTGAAACACCACCAAGGCACATGCTTGTAATCTCCCTGCAGCCTACATAGCCTTAAGGTATAAACAAAGGAGCTGGGGCAGAGTTAAGGGCCCCCGTGGAAGGCAAAGGATCCATGCTGGATCCTTGAAGCTCAAAGGACTATGGTGGGGTGATGGGGAGGCACTTCCTTACACTCGTCCTCCTCGCCACACCGGCAGTCCTTGACGCGGTGGAGGCTGTGAAGGCTGGAGCAGTAGGGAGCTTCACTCTGGTTCTCACAGTTGCAGTAGGACTCCCCGGTCACAGGAATGGCACTTGGAATGGAAGGTGAGAGGGAAGAAAACTCTGGCTCTGAATCCGAGTCGCTGTGCTGCCGGAGAGAACACAGGAATGGCCATAGAATCATGGAAGGATTTGGGTAGGAAAGGACCTTAAGCTCACCCAGTTCCAACTCCCTGCCACTGGCAGGGACACCTTCCACTAGAGCAGGTTGCTCCAAGCCCCGTCCAGCCTGGCCTTGAACACTGCCAGGGATGGGCCAGCCACAGCTTCTCTGGGCAACCTGTGCCAGCACCTCAGCACCCTCACAGGGAAGGACTTCTGCCTAAGATCGACCCTGAACTTGCCCCATTTACTGTTTCCCCAGGTCACTACCAAAGGAGCCTGGGCCCACGGAGCTGGGCTGGCAGAGGGCTGCATCGTGCCCTGGCCAGGCTTACCATGCAGGGACATGAGGGATTGTGCCAGGCAAACTATCTCGCTCTGGGATCTCGTTAGTATGTGTCTGAGCCACAGAAACCTCTCAGCAACGAGCACTCTATGATAGGGGTATGTTCTTTGTGCCTTCCAGGGGTGAGGAGCTCCCACAGCCTGCACACAATGGGACAGGCCATGTCTAACCACACAACTGTGGTTTTCAATGGGCAGGTTACAGCCAGCTGGAAATCCCGGCTGAGGTGTCACAACAGCAGAGCACACACTGAAACTGCTGAAACTGCTGCTCTGGAGAGCTGGGGAGCTGAGAGAGAGGAGAGGGAGGCAAACAAGACAAGGAGGAAAAGGGTCAGGAGGCCAGGCAGGGGAGAGGGCAGAACATAGGGTAAGCAGCTCAGCAGCAGGGCTGCAGCTCCTCATGCCAGCGCTGCAGAGAGGCCCTTGCGAACCCACAAGAGGGTCAAAAGGCTTTTGTTGACTTTCATGCTTGAACACAAAGACTTGATTTCCTCTTCCCCCACCCCAGGACTTGATGATCTTGAGGGTCTTTTCCAACCTAGTTGATTCTATGATTCTATGAGACCAAAGTGTCTCTTCACTGGACGCTGTAAGTCAATGCCTCGTCTCACTCCCATTACGAGAGGCTTGGTGTCACCTCATGGAGTCTCTATGACAGATTGCAGTGAGTTACTCTGGGTTTACACACTGATCAGATGTACCCGCTCACTATCCACGCCGCAGCAGACTTTGTAGGCAGTATTAAAAGCCCAAAAACCTTTAAAATCATGTTCTTGTGGCTGTGTAAGACAGTGGGACTTGAAATTACTTGGGCTTACTTAAGTAGTGCCCACCTCTCCTTGACTCGCCTGCACACTATGAAGCTTGACTTCTGTCTTTCACTGGTGCTTCCCCACTACTGCTATGGAGCAAGTGGCCGTTCCCATTACTGCAGAAACACAAAGCTGCTCTGGCTGCAGAGAAAACTCATTTTCTGGGAGCACAGTGCCTGGGTTTGGACACTGGCCCCCTCTGGCAGGGGCCTCACAAGGCTTGAGCCTAGCGTTGGAGCTCCAGGATCAGTTCCTTGTGTCCCCACTGCTGCACAGGGACCTGAACTCACACACTCAAGAACTGGGGAGAAAAGCGAAGGACAGTGGAGGTGAACCTGAGCCACTCCTCACTCTTTTTTCTGGCCGCTTCTCCCCGCTGGGTTCCATCTTCCAGGGCCAGGTTCAGAAGTGATGTGCAGGTTACAGAGCAGGAATTTCACTCTGGGGATATGTGAGGATGTAACATCACAGATGGAAGCAGCCCCACTCCCTCCAGCAATGCACAAAGACCAGATGTCAGCACAGTCCTACAGCAAGCCAGAGCTCAGAACTGATCCAGTTTATATATTTAGATCACTACTTCAAAAAGAGTATGTAAAATCTATTGCATACACTTGAAATATGTCACACACTTTATATGCTTAAAAAAGCTTTTCATTTAGTGTCGATCGTCTCCCTGGCTCAGCTGAGAGCTGTGGTGCACGGCTGGGAGCAGTTTAGCATTCCCTGCCTAGGGAAGATGTGCTGGGAGTCCCACAGCCCATGTTGGAGCTTGGAGGAGGCTCATTAGACAACCTGTGTATTTCTCTAAGTCTGTTCTGATTTGGGCCAGTTGCCTGCTGAAGTACCAGCTCCTCAGTTACATGGACCTTGTGGAAGGGCCTAGAGCACAAGTGTGATGAGGAACAGCTGAGTGACCTGAAGGGGTTTAGTCTGGAGAAGAGGAGGCTCAGGGGAGACCTTATCACTCTCTACAACTACCTGAAAGGAGGATGGAGCCAGGAAGTGGCTGGTCTCTTCTCCCAAGAAACAAGAGGAAATGGCCTCAGGCTGTGCCAGAGAAGGTTTAGACTGGATATTAGGAGCAATTCCTTCCCCAAACGGTGGTCAGGCATTGGAACAGGCTGCCCAGGGCAGTGGTAGAGTCACCATCCATGGAAGTGTTCACAAACCGTGTAGGCGAGGCCCTCAGTGACATGGTTTAGTGGTGGCCTTGGCAGTGCTGGGGAACGGTTGGACTTGATGATCTTAAAGGTCTTTTCCAACCTGGTTAATTCTATGATTCTATGGGGAAGAGGAAAGCTCTCCCCTGTGTCACTGCAGCGCCTCAGTGTCACTGCAGCCTACCTGCCCGTCGGAGTCGTAGCCCCAGCCCCGTGCGCTGCTGGTCAGGGCGAGCGCCCGGGTGTCCGCCTCGCG